ATGTAGGTGGTTGTGAAACCATGCTCTAAATTCTGCATATTCCCTTGCGATTTTATTGTAAGTTCAAACGATATATAGAGCCTGACATAGTGAATAGAATTTAAAACCTGAATGAAAGTAACATGCTAACATCGTTCAGATAAAATACATTTGAAGATGAAAACAGAAAAGCTGGGAACATTTGATAAGATTTATTAATGTCAAAAAAATCTTACCATTCTTAAAATCAGTAATTCAAATTCTGATTCACAATAATTTCTCAGTGTTCCATGTATATAAAGTTAAAGGTTTACAGTTATTTTGTTTTTGTTTTTCAAAAAGAGACGGAAAACAGCATAGATTTCCCCACATTGAATACTTTTTTCCAAAATGATTCAAGATATAATGAAAAATACAATAAAAACGTGCTCTGCGGGAAAAAAATCATCTGACCTTTTTAAAATGTCCATCGACTTTTAAACTGAATCAGACTTTTTAAAAACAGGAATAAAAAAAATAAGAAACCAACTCCAAAAAAACAAAAGACACATAAAAAACAAAGAGAACACAGAAACAGTGAGAAAGCAAATGAAAATGACAGAATAACAGTACATCCGCGACTAAACGAGGAGAAAGACGCCGACGAAAACGAGAAGTAGGACGGACGAGAAAGGGAAAGTGGGAATTAGCGACTGGCGAAACGGAAAGGAATGGTGGAGGAGGAAAGACGGGGTGTTTAGAAAAAAAAAAGAGAGAAAGAGAAAAGAAGGAAACGCAGTTCGAAATGAATGAAATGAAAGGAGGGAAGGAGGGAGGGATGATGAGGAAGAGATAGGTAGATAGCGAGAGAGAGAGAGAGAGAGAGAGAGAGAGAGAGAGAGAGAGAGAGAGAGAGAGAGAGAGAGAGAGAGAGAGAGAGAGAGGGGGGGGGGGGAAGAGGGAAGCAGAGATAAAGGAAGTAATGAAATATGAGAGAGAAAAAAGAATGAAGGCCAGAAGTGTTTGGGTGGATGTGAATGAGTGTGTGCAGAAGGGAGAAGAGAGAAAGCGAGAAAACAGAACACAGAGAAAAAAAATGTGAGATGAATGATAAAAGGTAAGAAGGAAAGAGAGAGAAAGCGAGAAAACAGAAGAGAGAGAAAATGTGAGATGAGAAAGAGAAAAAGGTAAGAAGAAAAGGAAGAGAAAGCAACTCACGGAAATAGAGACTAGATAGCCAAAAATCTGAGCAAACCATACACAAACAAGATACAAAAAAGCGAAATAAATATTTAAAAACACCAAAGTCCCTTCAACCCCCAACAAACACCTTAATGAAAGGAAAAAAATATCTCCACTCTTCCCCTACCAACAAAAAAAAAGAAAAGAAAAAAGAAAAATATACATATAAACAAATTACCTCGACAATAGCAAAGACGAAACATAATCCGCGAAGATCTCCTGAAAAGAAATGTCTCCCCCACCCAAAAAAAAAAAAAAAAAAAAAAACTCGACAAAGGCGACATCAAACCCTTCCCCCCACCTCTCTATCTTCCTCCTTCCCCCATCCTTCCTCTCTCCCCCTCTCTCTATCTTTCTCCTTCCCTCATTCTTCCTCTCTCCATCTCCCCATTCTTCCCTCCCCTCCATCTCCCTCCTTCCCCCATTCTCTTCCCTGTAAGTCCCTCCTCCTTCCTCCCCCCATCTCCCTCCTTCCAGCTTTCTTCCTCCCCCAGCTCCTTCCCTCCCCCTTCCTCCCCGCAACTCCCTCTTCCCCTTCCCTACCCCCATCTCCCTCCTCCCCCCAACTTTCTTCTTCCCCAACACCCTCCTTTCCCCTTCCTCGCTTCATCCCCCTCCTTCCCCCTCCATCCCACCCCCAACTCCCTCCTTCCCTTCCTCCTTCTATCTCCCTCCTTCCCCCTTTCTCCCCCAACCCCTCCTTCCCCCTTCCTCCCACTATCTTCATCTTTCCCCCTTTCACCCCCAACTCCTTCTCTCCCCCTTCCTCCCCCAACCCCTCCTCCCCCTTCCTCCCTCTATCTTCATCTTTCCCCCTTTCACCCCCAACTCCCTCTCTCCCCCTTTCCCCCTCGAACTCCCTTTTTTTCCCCTACCTCCACTATCTCCCTTCCCCCCCACTCCCTCCTTCCCCCTTCCTCCCCTCCCCCAACTCCCCAGCTGTACAACTGCTAATGTAGGTCACGCTATCGTAAACGAGTGTGTGAGTGTCTCTCTCCCTCTCTCTTTCTCTCTCTCGTTCGCAAATCAGGGTCAAACAGATCCGAGAGACTCACGGAAGAGAGTCGCGAGGTGGTCACGACGAAACACACACACACACACACACACGTACACTCAAACACACACACACCTGCCGGTCCGTCTTCGCTATTACCGCAGTGAGGGAAGATTCTCTCTCTCTCTCTGTTTCTCTCTCTCTCTCTCTCTCTCTCTCTCTCTCTCTCTCTCTCTCTCTCTCTCTCTCTCTCTCTCTCTCTCTCTCTCTCTCTCTCTCTCTCTCTCTCTTCTCTCTCTCTGTATGAAAAGGTCATCTATACCTATAATCTCTTTCCATATATATATATTGTTTGCGTGTCTGGCCTACAATTAGCGGTAAAGTTTGCGGTGATTTTAAGGTTGATGAGGTAATATGTTTTTATACTTTACAAGGGAATAAAAAGTTTCTCTCTCAGTTTGCTGGATATTCTGCCTGATAAGGTCATCTACACCTACATGACCTTCTTTTGCGTGCCTTGGACCATACTTAATGCGGGGAATGGGAGACGAGGTCAGCGTATTGATTTTTATGGTTAATGGGATTATAATTGAGATGCATATTAATAACGTTGCTTAGCGAATAAAGTCATTATCTATGCTTTTTTCAGAGCCTCGTCTACGAATATTATCGTTATCCTGTTATTGTGAAAATATGCTTCCTGTTCACTTGTATAGGTGTTTCAGTTTGACATTTGTGGGTGTACACACTCATAATATTTAAAAATGTTGACGAACAAACTTATCACTGTTGTGTAATAAGTAATTACCTGCAGTAGTTATGACATTAATATGCAACGGGACTAATTAAATGTAAATATCTTTGATGGATATTACTTCCTCGACATTTTAATTATGATAATTTGACGCAGTGTGAAGAAAATTTATACGCAGGTTACCCGTAACTGAGTACCTGGGACTTACTGATTAGAATTTGTTTACTAAACTTTCGTATATTTAAAGTCATATTTAAATACATAATAGGGCTTAGGGTTTTATCCATAATCATAACATATTAAAAGGCCTCTAATTATTACTTGGAAAGTGATGATTTTACAGAAAATGGCCATGAGAAAAATAATGGCCTCAGTCTTGGCATTCATGAAAACAAATAAAGAAACTTTTTCATGAATGTTTTTTGTATAATATAACGATCAGAGTATATTACAAAATCAACAGATAGAAAGCAACCTAAGAAGATAATAAAACTGAAATACTGAAGAAATAAAAATACTAATACATATATATATATTGAAAAAATAACACCTTTTTTATTCGAATTTAAAAGAGACGGCAACAGTAAGTTTAAATGACAGTTAAGCTAGTCTTGATCTAGGAATCGTAAACAAAGTGGTTTAGAATCAGTATGCAGAAAATGGCGCCCAAAACACGACAAGTATGAAGGGAATTCCAAGTTTGTTATTAAAGCCGTTTCTGTTTTCTTCTTTCTCCCTTTCGTCTTCGTTTTGTACTTTTTGTTTTCCTTCCTGCTATTTTCTTGTTTTCTATTTTTTTCTTCTCGTTTCTTTTCTTTTTCTTTTTCTCGTTATCTTTATGTTTCCTTTTGATTTCCGATTTTTCTTTCTTTGTCTACAAGTAAAGTGTGTGCGTGTGTGTCTGTGTCTGTTATTTTTATTTATTCTTTTTTGTGTGTGTGTGTGTGCGTGCGTGCGTGCGTGCGTGCGTGCGTGTGTGTGAGTGTGTGTGTGTGTGTGTGTGTGTGTGTGTGTGTGTGTGTGTGTGTGTGTGTGTGTGTGTGTGTGTGTGTGTGTGTGTGTGTGTGTATGTGTGTGTGTGTGTGTGTGTGTGTGTGTCTGTTTGATAGATAGAGAGGGTGTTGAACTATCAAACAAGACAAAGAAATCAACAAACCCCCGCCCCCTCAAGAAAAAGTAAATAAAAATAACAATAATAATAATAGTAATAATAGTGATAATAATACCAAATCAAAAATAATAAAAACGACAGTCCACCGCAGGAGCGCCAAAGCGGCCGCGCCAATGCATTCATTCCCTTGACTCGCCTCGTCACTTATTCACTTCACCAAAACGTACTCAGAGGGAATAAGGAGCGTTCAGTCCCCTTTTCGCTGTCTGTCTGTCTGAATGTATGTATGTATGTATGCATGACTGTAAGTATGTATGTATGTATGTATGTATGTATGTATGTATGTATGTATGTATGCATGTATGTATGTATGTATGAATGTATGTATGTATGTATGTATATTTGTATGTATGCATGCATGCATGCATGTATGTAGGTATGTATGTATGCATGTATGTATGCATGCGTGTATGTATGTATGTAAGTATGTGTGCATGTATGTATGTATGTATGTATGTATATTTGTCTGTCTATCTGTTTGTCTGTCTATCTGTTTCCCTGTCTATCTGTCTGTCTGTTTGTCTGTCTGTCTGTTTGTTCGTCTGTCTATCTATCTGTCTGTCTGTC